AATCATTCCCTCTTCTTTGTTACCTTGTACCTACATGTGTTTTGCACCTGTCACACTGTGTAATCTAGGATAATTATTTACTTGTAGAACTATCTTCTTCCTTAAGGAGAAGAATCACATCTTTTTTATCTTTGTGTACTCAGCATCTAGCACAGTGTTGGGATATAGTGGGGCTTCAGCAAATGTTTTGTCATATTAAGTGCAGTGTTTTCAGAATTAGTAGTATTCATTTGCAAAACTAAATCCATGGGCTGGGCATGGTGGCTCATGCCTGTAATCCTAGCACTCTGGGAGGCCAAGGTGGATAGATCGCTCAAGGTCAGGAATTCGAGTTCAAAACCAGCCTGAGCAAGAGTGAGACCCCCGTCTCTACTGTAAATAGAAAGAAATTAATTGGCCATCTAAAAATATATATAGAAAAATTAGCCAGGCATGGTGGTACATGCCTATAGTCCCAGCTACTCGGGAGGCTGAGGCAGGGGGATTGCTTGAGCCCAGGAGTCTGAGGTTGCTGTGAGCTAGGCTGACGCCACGACGCTCTAGCCTGGGCAACAGAGTGAGACTGTGTCTCAAAAATAAAATAAAATAAAACCTAAGTCAATGGCCTAATAAAGCTCTGTTTTCAGTATTTAGGCAACCTGGGATGCTGGGAAGGGCATGCTACAAACCAGCTGTGTGATCTGGTGCTGAGACAGTGTGGTCCCCATCCCTGGGGACAGTGCGGGGCACGTGGGGGAGAATCTCTATTTGTGGCACAGGTTGAATTGTGTTCCCCCAGATTTATGTATTGATGTCCTTAGAATGTGACCTTATTTGGAGCTAAGTTTCTAACAGAGGCAATCAAGTTCAAATGAGGTCATTGGGGTGGTGTTATGGGCTGAATCGTCTCACCACAAAATTCATATGTTGAAGGCCTAACCCCCATTCTCTCAGAATGTGACTGTATTTGGAGATAGGATCTTCAAAGAGATGATTAAGTTAAAATGAGGCCATTAGAGTGGGCCCTAATCTAATCTCACTAGTGTCCTTTTAAGAAGAGGAAATTTGGACCCACAAAGAGACACTGGGCAGCGTGGGAAAGCAGCCCGACAGATCCAGTAAGTGGACAGGGGGGCGACCCTTGCTGTGAAATGGCTGGGAGAGGCGATATCAGTGTGTCAGGGTCATCAGAGAACTGCCAGGTACAGCCTGAAGGCCAGGTGGGATTTTCCCCCCTGGCAGTGCATCTGGGAATACTCCAGGGGAGTCTCTGTGTCAGGAGGTGCTATGTGGAAGGGCATAACTTGTCTGGATTCCCCCCTCACCTCATCCATGGCCATGTGGGAAAGCCCTCCACATGAACACCACGGCTGCTGTGGGAAGGAGTTTCTCTGGAATGATTCCTGCTTCCCCTCAGTGGATGCGGACAGCAGAATGTCAGGGCATAAGCAATGCCTTGCAAGGCCAGCACCCTGGTCCTTCTATCCCCGAACCCGTCTGAGTCTGGGCACAAGATCTGTTGGTGAAAAGGACCAGTGTTCTATCCTGTATCCAACTGGTTAGATGTGTGTACTTTATCAGTTCTCTCTTCTTTTTGGTAACAGAATAATGATGCTTTTCTTTATAGATAAAGAGCGGTCAGATGACCTAGGTTTAGGTGCTAACTCCAATATTTACAAGTTAAAGAAACTTGAGTACTTAAATGCTATGAACTTGGTACTTAAATGCTATGAACTTCACTTTCCTCATCTGCATCATGATGGTGATAATAACACCTATCCAGCAAGGTTATTGTGAGGATCAGAAGAGATTCTACAGTTGTAGGTGCATGGCCAATAGTAAAGTGCTATCCAATTTATAATTATTCCTCAAGCTTCTGAGTCCAGGTCTTAGTTCCACCTATCTCTGACTCCCCTGGCCCTCTGACCTGCTGTGGGATTCTCAGTCTGTTCCATAAAATGAGGCTCTTCATCATATCCTGTGTTTCATGATTGAGCAAATGTTTCATATCTGATCTTAAAGATCACATGTCATATTTATTCCCAATTTCCTACAGGGTAGGTGATCAATAGATACTATTGGTGGTGTAGAACTGTCCCACCCTTAGTGGAGCATGCACTTGAGAGTCAGGACCTGCCACCTGCACTCCTCACAGCCACCCTCGTAGGTTGGTGCCAAGGCAGGAGGCAGAGAGGAAGGGTCATGCCTTGGAGACCTGGCTTCTGGGTCTGGCTCCATCACTTCCTGTTGTTTTTCTCAACTGTGAACTGGGCATAACAATGCAAGAGTGCACTCACTGAACGCACACAGGTGGCTTTTGCAGACTATAAGTGTTGTCACCAAGGTGAATGCCATGGCTGGGGAAGCAGAGCAGTTGGCTCAAGTGGAAGCTGAGCCTATACTCACTGAGTGGCACACTAGCCACCACTAGCACACTCACCCAAGGGTCCTAGGCTGCATCTGGACCACGGGATGATGGCCTTGGAGCTGTTGCTGATGGGGTTGCTCGCAGTGCAGATGTAGGTGCTGTCGGCATGCTGGGGGCCGAGGGTGATGGACAGGAGGTGGGAGCTGTTGGCTGGGCTCAGAGGGTGAGTGTCCACCTCCTCGCTCCAGCTGTAAGCCACGCCGTCCCCTTTCTCCACCGTGCAGGCCAGCGTCAAGGTGCAGGTCCCATTGTCTTGGGTCTGGTTTAACACTTTAATTTCTGGAGTGGAGACCTGCTCTGTCAGGAGGGGGAGAAAGGGACCCATTACTAAAAGGAACCCCTGGGAATCCTCACTTGACCTTATTGTTAGAACAAGAATGGCATCCCACCCCCCAGGGGGCTTCAGTGTGATTTATTTCTAGTGGGGAACTATTGTTTCACACTGTCCCTCACTCCCTCTTTCTAAGACCACCTCAGGATGAAGTAGAGAAGAATTTTTGTTTCAGTCCCCTTCTACCAATACCGTTAGGGCTCCACTTGCTCTTCCTGCTGTTCTTGATCTAGGTTATTGTTCTCAGTGGAGTTTGCTGTCAACTAACCCCCATGGATTTTAATTGGCTTAGATTATTACCTCCTCGACCTAAAAGAATGACTTTTTAGTAGTGGGATTTCATCTATAGTATGGTGTGTGTGCGTCTGAGATAGGGATAGGTTCTCAATTATAGTTGTAGGCCCCATCAGTCTATCCCACCCTAATGCCATGGAACAGGCAAGATAAAAAGGAAAGTCTTGTTAATTTAGCACTTACTATAGGACAAGCACAGTGATGGACTTTCACATCCATCATCTTCTTCAACCTTTTTGACAATTATAACTCTAGTTGTAATTATTCCCATTTTATAGATGAGGAAACTGAGTCCCAGAGAAGTGGAATGTCTTATATAATGTCACATAGCATCTAAGTGGTCAAGTTGAGTTCTGAACCTGGGTCTGTCTAACTCCAAAATCCAGCCTCTTTCTTTGACTTGAGAAAAACGCCATGGTTGCAGAGACCACATTTCCAAAGTAAGAATTGGATCACAAGATGTGACAAGGGCAGTAAACTTATAGAAACAGAAGTATTGAATGGATGCCATCTACCCTGTTTTGAAAATCGCATCCCGTGCAGCCTCCATGCTCTTGGCAGTCTTGCCTCCGAGACACTGCTGGAGTGATCAGGACTGCCTGGTGCCTGGCAGAGGGCTGTGGGAATTCTGCACTCACTGTTTGCAGGAAAGAGAATGCTAACGGGGATGGGGGTGGATCAGAGAGGGTGTTGCTGTCTCCCCTCCAGATAGCTGAGGACTTCAAAGAAATGCTGAGTAGTTGCAAATCCCTGTCTCATCCTGAGATATAAGGAAGCCATTCTGAAGAAGCAGGAGAACCCCACATGGCTGTCAGGATTCCTGGGAATTCAGGTGAGTATCTGGGCCTAAGAAACACAAACCCTGGGTATCTTCAAGAGGGCCTGGCAGTCAAAGAGGCTTGAAAGAGCACTGGCCTTGGGTTCACATGCACCGAGGTCCTAGTTTAAGTACTGCAACTAAGCAACTTTATAACCAGAGCCTTTGTTTAAATGAGAAAAAAGGTCCTTTCCCACCAGGTGAACATGATCCTCTGCCAGGACGCAGGGCTTGGTGAGTGGTGTGTGGGCAGAATCGCAGCTCTCTTTACCCAGAACCCCCAGTGCAGTGAACCACCTACACAAATGTGTATGAACATGTGCAAACCACTTCTTTCTGAATTCCAGTATCCTCATCTATGGGAGGGGTTAGGTTTGATCATTGATATGCAAACTTTTTAAAAATCAGAAAAAAAAAGTCTTGTTTTCAAATAAAATCTTATTTGCAGACCAAGACTCTCGGGGCTACAGGCTGTTCAGCCCACATGTGGGTAAGAGGAACCAATCCCTACCAAGCAGCTGCCACCAATGAGCAATGTGGCGTGGGGGGTGGGGGGAGGTTCGCCAACCTCTAAGACCCCTTCCCTGAAGCACAGTTTAAATACCCCTAAACTAGATCATCTTCAAGTTGCTTCCAATTCTGAATAGCTCTGCTTTTAAGAGAGGCCTAAATTCCTAGACAAGGGACCATCTTAGCCCTCCAGTGTGGACAGGAGAAGCCACCATTATTACCATAAAGCTTCAGCTGCAGGCAAAAGTGCTGAACGGAATCGTTTTTCTCCAGGGTCATAGAGTACCATCCCTCGTCCTCCTTCCTGCTGTCCAGGATCTCCAGCTGCAGGTCTTCCCGGTAAAACTTGTAGCGATCCTTTAGGAAACGTGGGGGGCCTCCTTTCGATGGATCGAGAGACACTATTTTCGTCTTGACACTGCTTTCTGGTGATGTTGCCACCGTGACAATGATGTGGATGCTTTTGTTCATGCTCTTACTTATCCCTTTCTGCGTCAGGGGCAGCAACACATTCCTCCCCAGCTGGCGGAGGATCTTTGGGCAGTTCATCACGCCCGTGCCTGTGGGAGGGAGGAGAAGCGAGCCCCTTACTGTGGAGGTCTCTAGACCACATGGTGTCTGTGGATCAGGAGTGACACACTGCAGGCTCTCCCTTTTCCTCCTGGGCTATCCTCGGGGTGCTTAGTAGTTTATAAGGACTGCCATGAAAGCCCCCATTATACTCTGAGTATTTCAACAATCCCAAGAGAAATCCTAAAATTACTTAGGATAGAGATGTATAGACTAGCTGGAACACCAGGTTTCTATCAACTCGGATTTATAATGAAGGAGCCTAAAGCACAGAGAAGTTGAATGCATTCCCTAAAGTCACATAACTGCCAAGCGGCAGAGCCAGGCCAGAATCCAGGTCCGCCACTCCCTCTATCAGGGCTCTCGCCATCCTTGAATACATAGGATGAAGGACGGAGAACAATTGAAAATGGTTCTGCGCTCTCGTGCCCAGGGCACCGAGGTTACAGAAGCATCACTTTGGATAATGAGGAAAACAGAAAAGTCTGAGGGACGTGAAGTCAGGCGGGTGGTAAAAGCCCAGGGTTCAAACTGTGGAATCCTAGCCCTCTAAAACACCCTGAAACAGTTAATAATGTTGAGGGTGAGATATTATTTTATTTCTCTTTTTTCAAAAAAGCTGAGCCAACAAGAAAAAAAAAAAAAAAGACACGATAAACCAAAAACCTTTCAAACCACTATAAGGGATCCTGCTGCTGATTATTTAACACCTCCCTGTTCCCCAAACCCACAACCTGCTTTTCTCTTTCCTCTCTCAGCCGATGACCTCGCTTTGTGTTTCGCTGAAAAAAAATAATAGAAGCAACCAAAAGAGAGCTTCCATCGATCACCACCACCAAACCAGACCATCCGCCTGGGTGGAGGGTCTATGCTCCCATTTAAGGCCAGCCTCTTCCTTCATGGAGTACTCACCTACTTCTAGGCTTTGTTTCTGCAACTGCCTCTGCCCCTCTGCATTATTCGTGTTCTGTGGGTTAATTCCATCAACACACAACATGAGAATATGTAATTTCCCTCATATTAAAAATCTGTCCCCTGAATTTTAATCCATCCCAGGTCCATCTCCAATTGCCCCCCCACCCCCTATTTCTCTGTTTTCCTTTATAGCAAAGTCCTTTAATCTGTGTTTATACTTTCTGTTCCCACTTCCTTACTCGTTTTTCCTCGTACCCACTCTAAACAGGAGCTCTTCCCTACCACTCACCAGAGCCATCTTTGTCAAGGTCACTGTTTCCTCCACTAAGCCAAGTCAAAGTCCTTTTTCCTACTTGCTTTCTCATGAGCACTTAACATAGTATATCACTCTCTCCTTGAAACGCTGTTTTCATTTGGCTCTTGGAAGACCCACACTCTCCTGCTTTTTCTCCTATTCCATTGGCTTCCCCTTCTCAGTGTCCTTGGAGGGAGACTTCTGCTCTTCCAGACCTCTAAATATTGGAGCATTCCACTACTCAGATTTTTTTCCCCTTCCCCATCCACCTTTATCCAGTTGCGCAGTTTGACCTATTTCTGAAAATGCTTACAGAATTACATGTCTCCCCCAACTCTTCACTGTACTCCTCCTGACTGCTTACATAGAGCAGTACGTGGAGGTCTAAAGGGCATCTGAAACTTAGCACATGAACTGTTGGTTTCAAAACATCTTCTGCAAACATTACATTTCACCTGATTTTTCAGGCCAAAACATTGGAATCATCCTTGACTCCTTTCTTTCTCACATACTCCTCGCTCAGGTTGACAGCAGATCCTGTTGGCTCTGACCACAGAATATGTCTGGCATCTGAGCCCTTTGGACCCTCCCTGTTTCCACTACCATCCTCACAGGCCTGGAGACTGCCATTGTCCTCCTGCATCTGTACAGTGGACATCTCTTAAAACCATGTCTGGTTTTGTCTCTCGCCTGCCTTTAAACCTCTAGGGCATTCTAGCACCTGTAGAATAAAATTTGTAGTCCCTTGATGTGGCTTCGAAGGCCCTGCACGCCCAGTCCCTTGCACAGCTCCGCCTCCGTTTCCTGCCCTCGCTACTTCACTCACTGCACTACGGCCACACTGGCTCCTGGCTGCTCTGTGAGCCCACCAAGGGCATTCCTATCCCAGAGCTCTTGTATTGGCTGTTCCTCTCTATGGAAAGTCTCTTCCCTTCCATACCTGGATGACTCCGTCCCTCATTTTATTTTAGGTTTCTGCTCCAGAAGTATCTCCTCTAAGAGACCTCCTCTGACCATCTATCTAAAATAGCCTCTGCCTTTTTATCACACTCATCACTGCCTGATGTTATATTTGTTTATTTTATTTTTGTCTCTCCCACTAGAATGCAAACCTCTCAAGAGGAAGAACTTCATTTTGTTCACTGTTTTGATCCCAGGACCTACAGCAGTGCTTGGCACATAGGAGGCTTTTAATAAGTATCTGTTCAACTTATGAATGCTGAAAACCATATTTGCCTAACATGTACATAACTGAACTTAACCTTAAGCTAGTGTTGATAAAGGAAGGAGCTTTATCTGTGACTCAGAGACAGCATAGATTGTCCTAATCGATAAGAAAGACAGAAGAATAAGATAAAACCATCTGCTTAAGTAATGTGGTTAACTGAAGAGACATCTCCATAATTGATTCGTGGTTAAGATGAGCTATTGGAAAATAAGATACACTAGCCAAAATATTCTTGACACCCAAATACTCAGAAATCCCAATACTGTCCAGTAAAGGGCCCAGCTAATAGTAGGCTAGAGATTCAGTGATTAGGGAAAAAGAAAAAGTAGTCTACCTGGGCTAATATTAGGATTACAGTGGTCAAAACTCATCATTGTTAAGGAAAAGTGAGAAAGGCAATTAAGATTTTGTTCTTTTAAATATTGCTCATATATCAACCCTTAAGAGTGTTCTGTCTGCTACTTAATTAGATGAGTTTGTGTTTGCGGTTGTTTTTACACAGATACATTGGGAAGCGTGTTGGACTTTCTTCCAGCTACACTTATAAATGCTTGACTGTCCATATAATGCGGCTCCTCTGGGGGCCACACACCCGAACTGTAGGCACAATACCCAAGAGAGTAACCTCTTGAATCCTGAACCTAAACTTCTGTATATAAAGACATGAGAAGCTGGGCGCAGTGGCTCACGCCTGTAATCCTAGCACTCTGGGAGGCCGAGGTGGGCGGATCGCTTGAGGTCAGGAGTTCAAAACCAGCCTGAGCAAGAGTGAGACCCCCGTCTCTACTAAATATAGAAAGAAATTAATTGGCTGACTAAAAATATATAGAAAAAATCAGCTGGGCATGGTGGCACATGCCTGTAGTCCCAGCTACCTCGGAGGCTGAGGCAGAAAGATCGCTTGAGCCCAGGAGTTTGAGGTTGCTGTGAGCGAGGTTGATGCCAATTAAGACATGGCAGCCCTAAAGCAGAACCTTGGAGGTAAAAAAAAAAAAAAAAAAAAAAAAAAGACATGGCAGCAAATTTAGAGCCATAAGTGCAAGTATGAACACTTGAACTTGTGTACAAAAAGTTGTATGTAAGCACGTGCACACTTTTGTGAAAATATATCCATAAATTTCATCTCTCAAGGGGATCTGAGATTTAAAAATTGCTATCATACCATTGATTTTTTTTTAGATCAACTTTGATATGGAGAAAAAAAAGAAGAGAAATCGTTCCCAATTTTAGACTATAACCTTTCACCTTCCCAAATGTCTCCCATGCACCCCTCTCCACACCTAACCCTGCAGACTCTCTGCGCCATGGTTGCTTTCAGAACTTGGAATTGGTGGGGGGAGGGGGGAAGAGCGGATATGGAGTAAGGTAGTGAGCAGGCAAAACGTAAAAAATAAAAGAAAGGAAATAGGAGGGAAAAGAGGAAACGAAAAAGGAGAGGGGCAGATGAGTAAAGGCTGAGTGGTGAGTGGACACACGGTCATGGGGTGTGGAACCAAAGCTTCATTGGGAAGAGACCCTCACACCTCTCACCCACATGAAGAACGATGACGAACACCTGTGTGTGAGTGGCCGCGTCTGAGGGTTACTTGAGATCATCCCCACCTAAGCACAAGTGGAAAAATAAGTGGGGGCTTTACAGTGGTTCATAAAACCCTTCATGTGGAGTGCCTGGCCCTGAAACATCCCACTGCCTGATGAGTGTTTTCCAGCGGGTCTGTGATTCAGTCTGCCCTTGTTTACTGAAAGAGACTGGGAGGAAACATTTGTAGCTGTCAACACCAACTCACTTTCCTTCAGGGGTGATTCTACTTCGAAAAGCCAGTGATTCACATGGGCCCATGGATTTCATGGGCCTAAAAATTGTAGGATTTAGACAACCTTTTCACAAGATGGGATTCCACCCAAGGAAAACCCTTTTTAATTTTTTTTTTTTTTTTTTTGCCCAGCCCTGACACTTTCTCATGTGCTTTTAGCATCTTCTTATGACATGTCTTTAAGGTAGAGAAGAGACCAAAATTATTATTGGCCCCACAGTTCTTATGGCAAATTTAGGCCCAGAAAGAAAAGATAACTTGCCTAATGCTGCTTTTTAAACTGTGGCCCCAGCAGTCAGTGGAACTTTATTCCTATTTCATGTCTTACACTCTGCACACTTACACCCTTCCCTACCCTGAAATCCTATAACCACCCTGTATTTGCCTGGCTAACTCCTTCCATCCATTTCAACAGCTCTTCCTTAGGGAAGACTCCCGTGACCCCTAGCTTAGGTTAGGCTCTCCTGCCATGTGCTTCCAATGCACTTGGCATCCCTCCTTCATGTCACTCATCACGTTTTTAAGTCTGGTTCAACGCCTGTCATCCTTGCCCAAGTATAAGCTTCTAAGAGTAGGGACTGTGTTTTATTCTGCTGTATCCCTAACACCCACCTGGAACATAGTAGGAGATCAGTAAATCCTTACTGCCCAAGTGAATGAATAAAAAGGCATGGGATGAGGCCGGGCGCGGTGGCTCACGCCTGTAATCCTAGCACTCTGGGAGGCTGAGGCGGGTGGATTGCTCGAGGTCAGGAGTTCGAAACCAGCCTGAGCAAGAGCGAGACCCCGTCTCTACTATAAATAGAAAGAAATTAATTGGCCAACTAATATATATAGAAAAAATTAGCCAGGCATGGTGGCGCATGCCTGTAGTCCCAGCTACTCAGGAGGCTAAGGCAGCAGGATTGCTTGAGCCCAGGAGTTTGAGGTTGCTGTGAGCTAGGCTGATGCCACGGCACTCACTCTAGCCTGGGCAACAAAGAGAGACTCTGTCTAAAAAAAAAAAAAAAAAAAAGGCATGGGATGAATGAGTGCATGAGTGAACAAAATGACACTTGCATCAATTTACTTCTCCATTTGCACCTCCATCCTGAATGCTCTTTTTCAAGCCCCATAAAAATCCAACCTACCAGACCTATATATTTAGAGCTTTTTAGGTTTTTAATATTTATTTTTATTAATTTTATCTCAAATGTGCACAGTAGATAGATGTTCTGGGTCAGAGTCAGATTTCTTCTTAAACGACTCAGAGTAAATAGTAAATGCTTTGGACTCCCTTTGCCCTAGATGACGCAATGAGAGTGAGGTCAGTTGTCCTTCGTGGCCAACCAGATACTCCACAGGAAAGATTATTTCCCCTGCTTATCAGGGAAAACTTAGGGAAGACTGCCCTGACTCCTAGCCTAGGTTAGGCTTTCCTGCCATGTGCTTCCAACGCACTTTGCGTCTCTCCTTCGTATCACTCATCACGTTTTTAAGTCTGGTTCAATGCCTGTCGTCCTTGCTCAATTATAAGCTTCCAAGAGTAGGGACAGGAAGGCAACTGTCCCCTTCCCTTCCTTAAAGATTTCCTCCTTACGCCAACACTTTGGTAGGTAAATAAAATCTCCCCAGGATCCTGATAATCCCTGGCATCTCTCAGCTTTTATGACAAGTCCTAGGACTTGTCTGCAAGTTCTGTGGGCTCATCCCTTCTTGCATGCTGCATGCTGGTGGCACACGCTTATGCTGGCCTGCTTGGGAAGCTAGAGGCTTCCTGGCACCTTTGGGGCTCGCCCTAGCGACCTTGTCCAGGCTGTAACCATTTGGCCCTCTCAGGAACAGAGAAGTTTTATTATTCTTTTGGATCAAAGCACTTATCTATAGACATGATTACAGATCTAATTCTCATAGTATGTAAAAAGTCTCAGGAAGCCAGCGCTTTTTATGAGGACACTGAGAAATCCAGAGAAGTATTATCTCCCCACTCTCTTTATCTTTAAGTCTCTGATTTCTTCTTCTCTGCCATTTTCTTAAATTGATACATAAGAGATGTACATACTTTGAGGGTACATGTGATAATTTGACACATTTGAATACTGTGTAAAGATCAAATCAGGATAATTGGGATTTCCATCACCTTGAATATTTATCTTTTATTTATACCAGGAACATTCAAATTATTATCTTCTAGCTATTTTGAAATGTACAATAGATTTTTTTTTTTTTTGAGACAGAGTCTGAGTAAGTAGAATATTGTGGGGTCAGCCTAGCTCACAGCAACCTGAAACTCCTGAGCTCAAGTGATCCTCCTGCGGCAGCCTCCTAAGTAGCTGGGACTACAGGCGCATGCCACCATGCTTAGCTAATTTTTCTATTTATAGTAGAGATGGGGGTCTCACTCTTGCTTAGGCTGGTCTCAAACTCCTGAGCTCAAGTGATCCTCCTGCGGCAGCCTCCTAAGTAGCTGGGACTACAGGCGCATGCCACATGCTTAGCTAATTTTTCTATTTATAGTAGAGATGGGGGTCTCACTCTTGCTTAGGCTGGTCTCAAACTCCTGAGCTCAAGTGATCTTCCCACCTCAGCCTTTCAGAGTGCTGGGATTATGGGCGTGAGCCACTGTGCCCAGCCAGATTATTGTTAACTGTAGTCACCCTTCTGATCTATTGAACACTAAGACCTATATATTTGGAAAGACACAAGAAAATAGTAACAGTGGTCGCCTCCAGCAAGGGGTATAGAAATTAGTCTTTAAACTCTTTTGTACTGTTGTATTTTTATAGACATATATGTGATACCCAATAAACAAACTAGTTGACAAAAAAGTTAAATGAAAATACATGATGAAAAAAGTTTCTATTCATTTTCCAAATTCCAGATCAAATACTTCTTATATGCCCTCTGCATTCTCCTAGGATTTTATCAACATCTCTCACTTTTGGAAAATTTGTATACTTTAATTTATTTCAATTTGATTCAATTCCACCCATAGGCTTCAATTATAGATAACATATTCTAATTTTTACCATGTGATCTGGATACAAATTTTAGCATCCTTCCCATACCCTGCTCACTCCTCAAATGTGGGCTCATCCAGTTCCATTCATTGAGGCCTCTGGTGCGAGTGACCAGAAATTGCCAAACTATTCTGTGTCTCTCTTTCCTCATTTATAAAATTGTAATACTATCGATAATAATATACATCTTATAGGATTGGTATGAAAATTAAATGACTAATACACATAAAGCACTTAGAGCAGTGCCTGGTATGTAGCCAGTATGTGGTACATGCTATTATCCATTTATAAACATTCATGGACCGGAGAATATCAGACATTGTCTCAGGTGCTGGGCAGAGGCTGTTGCTCATTTTGCTTCTTGCACATCTAGCGTGGTGCCTGCCATATCATGTGTCCTTAATAGACAGTGGCTGAATAGGATCATCCGGAGTCAGTCTATGGATTAAACCAAATAACCCTGATATTTTAATTTCCAGTCCGGTGCTGGAGACAGTGAGGATGATGACATCATATGGCAGTATTAAAGTTTTTGAGAAATAGAAGTGCCTAGATTGACATCTTGGGATAGAATGGGCCAGTGAGCACTCAAGCTCGGGCCAAGTCTAGAGCCATACGCTTGCCCTTCACCTCTCCCCAACCAACATGTGTGAAGTGGGTGGGGAGGACCCACGCGGAGGAATAAAAACTCTCATCGAGGCAGGTTCATCAATTACAACAAAGGTCCCGCTCTGGCCGGGGGTGTTGACAACAGGGGAGACTGTGCATGTGTGGGGACTGAGGCTATAGGGGAAATCTCCTTATGTTCTGCTCAATTTTGCCGTGAACCTAAAACTGCTCTAAAAAATAAAGTCGATTTTTTTTTTTTAATCTCATCGGGGGAAATAGAAAATTCACTTTACTGGGGCGAGGGGCGCGGAAGGGGCATGTGGACTTTTTGAGTTTTACGATTCTGACTGGGAATTGGAAGTTGAGCTGAGTAGAGGTGGGAGAGGGGGTAGGTACCGATTTTACAAGAATCAAGCTTCTTGCTGGGGTAAAACCTGTCATGACTGAATGGTCCCATTTGCAAAGAATTTCCATCTGGCTTTTATCTGGGTTTCAAAAAAGGGTGTGCATTTAAAAATAAAAACACTGACAACATTTTCTAAATATTTCAGAGAAGAAGAAATGCGAGGAAGGAAGCAGCTACCGACTGGGTCGACACGCCTTGGGGGGCTGGGCTGTGTCTGGCTAACCAGCGACCTCCAGAGAGAGCGTCACGCAGATTGGCCGTCAGCAGCACCTGAGATGCATGGGCCAGGCTGGCCAGGAGACCAGCCGGCAGAGACGGAGAGGCCCAGCCCACAGTTCAGCCCATAACTCCTTCCAGTTACCAAGAAGTATTCGAAAAATGGAGTCACGGACTGGGTGCAACAAGGAAGGCTTGGCTCTCCCTGTGACCACTTACAGCAGCTCAGTTCAAGCCCCGAGCTCAGTTCTTCCTCTCTTAGACCTTGGGAAGTAAGAGCCATGGGTCTGCTGATTCCAAGGGGAGTGGGGGCCCTATAAAGGGCCTCTTCTCTGGCAGTCTGGCAGGAGGTGCATCTGATGCACTGCCCCCCAACATCCTTGGCCTATTTTGGGGGCTTTTCCTAGAAAAGTCCTTAATGGATTTGTGGTCATGAAAACCCCAAGCCCAAAACACCCCGGGCCTCAGGACTTCCCCCCTTTCCCTAATGCCACCTCTTCTGGTCCAGTCTGCCTCCCACAGTCCAAGCAGACAAGCAGGAGATCCTCACCCCACTCACGCAGTCAACCCCAAATCCACTTTTTGCTTGGCCATTTCTTTCTCAAGTACCTTCTCTCACAGCCATGATACTACTAAACAGAAAACAATAGCTTGCTCGGGAGGAAGACAGAAAGACAGAGGCCAGCTCCCAACGGCGGCTGCAGCCTCGGGTCTGGCCTTAGTGCCGGAGCTGCTCCGACACTGGTTCCTAATTTGCATTTCCCAAATACTGCGCTCCAGGAATCCCAACCTCTCCCCTGCCTTGCTGTCTTGAAACCACCTCTTCCCAGAAAGTAGCCACCAGTATGACCAAACTGTGGCCATTGTCAGTTCTCAGCCAAAGGGCTGGGGTTTTCACTTCTACCCTCTCTTCCCGCTATAGCCCTTGCTTTCTGTTGGATTGTGTTCGTGGTTTGTCTGCTTGTGTGTGTGTGCGTGTGATCCACACCCATGGCAGGGATGTAGGACAAATCTCCCAGAGTGCCATCCCTCCAGCTCAGTCCCTCTAGCCTGGGTCTGAAAGGTACCCACGCAAAACCAACCCCTCAGACCGGGACTTCCACCGGAGCCTCTTACCCTGAGAAAGCAGCCAGGAATGAAACAGGGCCTCTGGCTTAGAGCTCCTGGTTTCCTTGGAACCTAGGATTAGTGGGGCTGAGCCTTGGAACCCAAGGGCCCAGGAACTCAGAACATTTCTTCCTCTTTGAAAGAGGCAGTTGAAACTCGGAGCCAGTCCCTAAGGAAGAAGCAGCCAAACCACAGTCTCCAGACCTGCACCTTCCCTCCATCCATGAGGCTATGCCGATTCCTGGCAGCTGACACGGGACTCGAACCCCCAGACAGAGGCACACTCACCTGTTCCATAGCTGCGCTCAAAGGCCAGGGACAGAAACAGCAGGAAGGTCAAGGAGAGGAGCCCCTTGGGATCCATCCGTCAGTGAGGGGCAGGGAGGGGGGCTGGCCGGGAGCCCGGCAGTGGCTCACAGATGCCACCACCTCGGCAGAAGCGAGCTTTTGTCAGGCAGTGCTGCCTCTGCTGTCTGATTTATGCATCAGGAGCCAGCAGTTCCTGAACCAGTTTCCTGTGTCACTGGGACTTTTTCTGCCTGTGTCTTGAGGATTGCTCATCTCACTTTGGCCCTTAAATCACTTTGCTCTTCTCAAGAAGCAGCTGCTCCAGCGGTCCCGGCACTACGGGAGCCGGGAAAGGGGCGTGTGTGGTCACCGGGGCCAAACCCTGGCTCTGGACAAAAGTGTCCCGCCCTCCTTCTTTCCTTAGCTGTCTCCGGGAAACGCTGTCACAGCTTCTCTGAGCAGTTCTCTCTTCCTGGAGTGCAAAGAAGAGGTGTTTGTCAGATCATCTCTTAAATTTCATAGTTCAAAGCTGAACTTAGACGACTGAATTTCGATGAACTGTTGGACATCTTACTTCTGACTTAGTCTGTAAATTTGGATGACACTTTTTAACAAGCAGTGACATCCTGGTGCCACAGTTCCAGAGATCACTTGGCAGAAACCCAACATCCCTGATGGGTGCAATGTGGTAGCATTTAGCGAGCCCTGTGTTGTGTTTTGGGGGTCGCCTTTATTTTAGAGTTTGTGTCTAACTTTCCACTGAAAGGAGAGGGCTACAATTGGTAGAAGGGAGACCCCATGTTTTTCCAGGAGTTAAGCTATGAGAAGGGAACACTGGAAAATGCTATTACCAGTGCTCCCAGGGATATCTGAAAGGCCAGGGTAGTGTTTTTCGAGTCCATCTCAATGGGTTAAAGACTCTCTCTGATGAGCCTCCCCAAGGAGATCAGGGAAGTAAAAGTTGGTGATATGTGTGAATTGCTCTTTATCCTCACTGTTCCCCACTCCCACCCCCCAAGACCCAGCCATGCTCCCCACAGTTCTACCCAGTGCTGTGCTCGAGCCAGCATGTCCTGACCCATGAGAGCCAATTGTTAAATTTTTAGGAATCTTGTGAACTGCTTGATAAACATGGCCATTATTAAATTATGTAAACATACAAAATTAAATTATATAGACTTACAGTTAAATGAATTATATTAAAAACAGAGGGGATAAGACCTCAAAACTCACTACTTCCTATTTTTTTGTATGACATTACTGATATCTATGCTCTTGAGGTCATTGACACCCACTGTATCTCCACGTGGAAATAACACACCAACCCACGGGTGCAGATGCTCCTCTTTTCCCAGCTCTGCATTCTATGACATCATGTTGGGAGCTTGAAATCGGCCATGGTGGCAGTTTATACCATGAAACTGGGCAAATGATATAAATCAGAGCTTTAATTTATGGTTTCATTGATTGTCTAGATGTAAGAAAGTGATAGAGAAAACATAACGATACAGATTAAATTTAAATGTATATACCATGACTGTAGCCCTTACATTGGGAATACTATAAAACATTGAGGAGATATTTTTCTAATACTCAAAAACTGTCATCTGATTCAGCAAAAAGTCACTAGTGTCACTGATGGGCAAGGGATGTTCCCACGTATGTCTTTGTTGTTTCACCTCTCTTTAACTTACAAAGGAACACTGGCCGACATTCATGTTGGAACTATATTCTTTTGTCAATTGTAACCTCAGATTGGCTATGGATATGAGTTAAGCCAATGTAAACACGGGAATTCTGTGAGCATCAGTTGACTGTATGGAATTTACAATAAAGGGTATTGTACATTTTATTAAAATACAATAAATTGTATCTTTATAGATTATGTGCTACACATCTTTCATATAAGTAAAATTTATCAGCACACCACTGGCACAATAACTGAGAATTCAGATGGTGGGGTGAGTGGCATATTCTCCCTCTATTTGTAAAATAGCAGCTGAAATATAACTAAATGATACAGGAATATTGGGATCTCATATTCTCATAACGCTTATCCCATAAGGCTTTGGTGTTGACTCTATAATCACTCAGTTGAGAAGCAATGTTGGCACAGAGTGGACCCCTATGATGTTAATACATATTTATTCTGGCTTTTCACAAAAACATTTTGTGAGACAAGACTATGCTAGGTTCTTTAAGGTAATATAGTTTAAAACTTGAAACACCTTGGTAGGGGGCTAATTATTAGCCCTGTTTTATAAGTGGGAAACTTGTGATCCAGGTCTGACTTACTTCAAGACTGGTGCTCTGTTCTCAAGCCACACAGCTACTGGAATGTACATTCTGTCTACTTGTATCAAGACTCTTTCCCAAAGACAGGTGCTTACTCTCTTGTTTGTTTTGCCCTTCCTCTCATTTCCAGAATTAACCCTTCTCTAGCCTCACCATGAGACATCTCTACTCTGTTCCCTTGATCCCGCTGCACACACACATGGAGCTAAGGTTGGGTGCTGTCTGAAGAGTTTTACTCTTCATTGCCATCGAAAACTTAGCAAAAGTGTACACTGAATGAATGAGGGTCACAAATGGTTTAGATGAAGCTTCTGAGGCCCTGTAGTGGGTTGAATAGAGTGCCCCTTTCCAAAATTCTTGTCTACCTGAACCTCAGAATATGACTTTATTTGGAATAGTTGCTATTCCAAATATATCTTTCAGATGAAATGCATCTATCAGATGTAATTAAGGATAAAGATAGATTATACTGACTGGATTAGGGTGGCCCCTAAATCTAACAAGAGGACTATATCTTTATAAGAATTAGAAAAGGACACAGACATAGAAATAGAAATAGAAAAGAACAAAGACACAGGTTAGGCAGGGTGGCTCATGCCAATAATCCCACCAATTTGGGAGGCTGAGGTGGGAGGATCACGTGAGACCAGAGTTCAAGACCAGCCTGGGTAACATAACAAGACCTTATCTCTACAAAATATTTAAAAAATATTAGCCAGGCATGGTGACTCACACTTGTAGTCCTAGCTACTTGGGAGGCTGAGGCAGGAGGATCGCTTGAGCCCAGGAGTTTGGGGTTGTAGTGAGCTATGGCAAAGCCACCACGCATTAGCCTGGGTGACAGAATGAGACCTTATCTCAAACAAAAAAAAGGAAATAAAGGACATAAAAAAGACAGCCATGTGAAGGCAGGCAGAGCTGTGCAGCCATAATCCAAGAACCCTAGAGACCACCGGAGGCTGGAAGAGGCAAGGAAATATCTTCCGCAGAGACTTCAGAAGGAGCCTGGCCCTGCTAATATCTTAATTTCAGATTTCTGGCCACCAGAACTGTGAGAGAGTGAATCTCTGTTGTTCTAAGTGACCACGTTTGTGGTAATTTGTTACATCAGCCATGGGAAACTACTAACAACACAGGACCTGAGGGGAAACACGTCTACCCAAAGATCTGCAGTCGTACACTTAGGACACCAAGCTGCTTCCTCCAGCCGTAAAGAGCAGACGTTGACAGGCCAGCGACAGAAGACACACAGGTGATATGACTTGTCTTTACAAAGCCATTTGCAAAAGCCTTCACGTTCACTACCTTTTTTTTTGAGACAGAGTCTCTCTTTGTTGCCCAGGCTAGAGTGAGTGCCGTGGCGTCAGCCTAGCTCACAGCAACCTCAGACTCCTGGGCTCAAGCAATCCTGCTGCCTCAGCCTCCCGAGTAGCTGGGACTACAGGCATGCGCCACCATGCCCAGCTAATTTTTTCTATATATATATATTAGTTGGCCAATTAATTTCTTTCTATTTATAGTAGAGACGGGGTCTCGCTCTTGCTCAGGCTGGTTTCGAACTCATGACCTTGAGCAATCACCCCCGCCTCGGCCTCCCAGAGTGCTAGGATTACAGGCGCGAGCCACCGCGCCCGGCCGACATTCACTACCTTATTTGATCCCTATGAGGGAGGTCGAGCTGGTGTTACATGGCGGGGTCTAGACTGAACTTGGGAATCTTGACTCTGGGCCGGGCACAAGTGTCCCTGTTTTACAGATTGAGGCACAGAGCTGCTAAATAACTTGCCCAATGGCACGGAGCCAAAACATGGAAGGGTTGGATTCAAGTCCTGGACCATGTGATTCCAGAGTTGGTGTTCTCCCCACTCACCATATTGGTATGTCACTATACTCAGCAAGAACCTTAGCCAGTGTTCAGACTTGTGTCAGCTGATGGCCTGTTATCTGTGGGACGTTCCTCCTGCATGTTCAGCCCACAGCATGGGCAGCAGCACCATTCCCCAGCCCCAGCTGCCAGTGTCTGTGGCGTGACACCACTCCGCTCCTTCTGGTCACACAGAGTCCCAGCCCGAGAGTGAGGAGGACTGTATTCTGTGGAAAACAGCCCTCCCCCAACAATCTCATGTGGGCTACACAATGAGCCTCTCTCCTACTCTTAAACTCTTACATGTGTCCCCAAGACTTGCTACTCTCTCCCCCGACACTTCACGGTGAGGGGCGGCAAAGTTACCTGTGTGACAGGGTCTGGGCTGGACTGCCCCTGAGCCTCTTGGCTCTGGGGCTGATGGCCGTGCTTATCACAGCCTCTGACCAGAGGTGGCCCGAAATACGGCCCCCCGGGGAAGAGTCGCTGAGGCCAGACCACCTGGCCACATGGAGCTCACGATGAACACATCTCTATGGATAAGTAAACAAGAAAAAACCCTCAAAACCAAAATGAAAACACAAAATTCCCCCAAACTCTGAAACATCTCCTAGGAGACCTGACTGAAGAGTCTAAAAGTGGCCTGTGGAAAGCACTGGAAAAAACACCGTGGGGTCCGCCGTGCTGGGTGAGATGAGGAAGCCCACAGGGGCAGATGTCTGACATGGAGGCTGAGCAGACCAGTCGACCAGATAGCCGTGTGGTGGGGCGGGTGCTGTCAGGGCTGAGGACAGAGTGGGGAGAGAACTTGGCTGTGAGGTGGCTCTAGCTCAGACGCAGGCCCCGGCTTTGCCCCCACCGCGGCCCCCCCATCCTGAGTGTTCATGCCTGCCAGTCACCTTCCGGGGCTCGGGGAGGGGAGCTGGAAACATGGTCCAGTGTGGCCTGTGACTGCGTCCCATGGTGGTGCCCTCGGGCCCTTATCCTGTCTGTGGCACTGAAGTTGCCCCCTCCAAGGCCCTCACCACGTTCCTCACATCAGTGCCTCCTCCAGGGGTTCGGGTGTGGGTCAGAGCACTGGAGTCCGGGAGTGGAGAGTTATCTGTGGGCCTCTGTCATCTGAGGACTTCCTCTCCAAACTCCTGTCATTTCCACCGATGCTCCTGCCATCCCTCCAGACCCCAGAGCCAACTTGTGGGGATCCCTCTCTTCCAGGGGCCTCCTGGACTGGCTCTGAACTCCTCATGTCCCTACAGAGGTGACTGACCAAGAGAGAGTCACCGCTTCACAGACTCTGTCCACAGCATCTTTAGAAACAGTCTTGCTAGGATTGGGATGTTTCCTACTACCATTCAAAGGACCTCATGGGGCAGCCACATAGCTTGCTAGCCTGATTTTTACCAGCATATGTTGCCAGGGACAGGGAAATGCCCATGTCATACTACTCCTTCTAGGAAGGAATTGGTTCAGGAACCAGTGACAGTGACTATTGAGTCACCAGCCTCAGAC